CTTAGTCGTGTATATCGACTAGCGATATCGTCGCGGTGATAATACAAGATCGTACAAAGGTTAAGAGCCACGCGATAAAAAATCCCCGGGAGCTTTTGTGTGTCTTCTTCTTCTTCTCCTACGCCGCGAGAGCTTTAATGAGGAAAATCGTCGTCGTCGTCGTCGGCTGATGCCGGGAAACATCGTTACGAACTTTATATAAGTAGTAGGTATATATGCCGAGCGAGACACAACGGGGGGGCGCGGTGAGGAATATAATATGAAATCGTTCGCGAGATTCACCTTGGTGCGTATATATCTTATAGTGCGCTCGTGAAAAAGTATTGATTCTATCATAATAAAAGCCCATCCTTCAGACGCGCGCGTGTGTGTTTATAAATAAACGTTTACTTTCTCACTCTCTGCTCTGCTGCTGCTTTACTCTGCTCTGCTCTGCTGCTGACTACCTCGTCACGGCATAAATCTAAAAACGTCCGCACGCGTATAGCGCGGCGCAGCTTGCAGCTCTGCAAGCTCAAAATTTTGTGTGTGTATACGCGCACAGTAGTAGTAGTAGTAGTAGTAGTAGGGAAACTCTATACAAACAATATACACAAATCGACTCGCATAAAGTAAATGACATCCGTCGATGCGGAACGAATGTTTATTTGTTTATTGTGGGTGTGTGTGTGCTATATAGCTACTGCTGCGTGCACACAATCGAGCAAATGACTTATTGCCTAAACAAATCGAAAATCGTTCACGTCATAATGCATCGAAAAGCCACAAGAGATCAAACGCGCGCCGACAGCTCGTTAAATATTTTATATAAGTATATAAATCCGTACAAATGAATTCGATCGCGCCCGCAAAATGTCTCTATTATTATAATATAAAGGCGCGCCGCGATTCGCGGTTTTGCGGCTGTATTAGATCAGGCGCGATATCCGCGCGCCGCAGTTGTTTATAATTCTCTTCTCGCACCCGCGCGCGCGTATTGGCGTGTATCCTAATAATATATTAGATCGCGGAAAATAAACTCACAGCCGAGATTGACGTGCGCCGGATCATCGTTTGTTTAAATTTAGCCATCCGAAATTTTGGCTCTCGCGTCGCGCGTCGATATAATCCTCTCGCACCTTATCGAAGTAATTTTCCGGTTCATCGCGCTTGTGGCCTTTCGACGCTCACATACATATAGTTTATATAAAATATCGAGTATAGATGTATGTTTACAATAGCGCAAGTCTATACACACACACACGCACACGTTTCGTTTCGGGCAAATCTTAACGGCGACGCTGGCTCGAGTTCTGTATGAGCTGCGGCGCTGTGCATGTAAGTGTATATAATATGTACGTGTATCGGCCGAGTGGGCTTTATCAAAGGCTTTTAAGAATAGATGCTTGCCTCGCGCTCGCCCAGCGTATATATAGAGAGAGATGCCGATGTACAGAGCTACTAGCCTTTGGTTCTCTTTCTCTTTCTCTCTCTCTCTCTCTCTCTCTCTCTCTCTCTCTCTCTCTCTCTCTCTCTCTTGGCTTTATAACGTCGCTGTTGTATATCCAAGTTGGCCGAATTCAATGCGCGGCTTGACCCCAATAGCAATCAATAATATTTTATGTATGTGAAATGAGATTTATGCTGCACAGACGACGGTGGTCCACACTCGCACACGTCGAATTACGACGTCTAGAAATAAGTGTGTGTGTGTGGTTAAAGCTCGACACGAGATTCTTTGTTAAATGCGCCAGAATCAATCCGTCGTAGAATTGTTTAGTATCAATAATGACCTAGTTAAGAAAAAATTACGATTTGTAATGTTAAAGTGTTTAATATTTCTAACTTTACCAATATCAGAAACAACTCCGAAAACAAGCTAATTGATAGTAAGGTTACTTAAAACATAACAAATGTAACATTACAAATCGTAATTTTTTCTCCACCGCTAGATGGCGAGTATCTTTATTTGTAAAATCTGCAAGTGGCAAGCGCGCGTTTAAAAAATCTAATTCATTACTCAATTTATTTTCTTGACCTGTTGAGCAGCCCCACCAGGGCCTGATCATAGAATATTGAAGGCTCAAAGTAAATTCAGAAATTATTCATTCATGAGGCTTGTTAATTTTTACGAATTTCGAATAGACAAAAAAAGTCACTAAATACAAAACGACGTGAAAATTACACGGTTAAAAATGTTGAAAAACCCTTTACATTTCTAATCAGTGTAGTCCATCAGTCTATTAGAAACTTTTTCATCATTGCCTAAAAACTAGCTATAAAATGTTCAACGTTTCTACTTGTGGGCACGCGTTTTTTACACTAGAAACGTCGTATTTAAATACGAATACTCGCAGCCCTTTTCGAACCACGCGCCGTACCACCCGCCACACACCGTCAATGTATACGTAGCGAGTTTAAATAAATAAAATTCAAATGTAAATTCAACGCGGCGTAACGCACCGTCGTCGTTCGCCTTCGCTAGCAGCGGTTCTCTCTCTGGGGAGCTGCACTGCACTGCACGGCGAATCCTTTTGATCCCCCACGCCCGGCCGAAAGTTGGCGTCGTCGTCGTCGTCGTCGTCGAAGCACGACAAGTGTGAATTTAATAGCAGTTTAAACAAACTCGCATATATAAATATAGTCGAGCCCGAGATCGCCGAGTCGCTGCGAGAAGCGTCGAGTCTCGTATACCTATACGCGCGCACACATTCTTGATGGCATGCATACATGCATCAAATTCTCGCGCGCCCTAGGTTCATCTCGCGCGTCAGAGAAAAAAACTTTATTTTCTCTCTGCCTGGCCTGCATCGTCGCGTGTACACATCGTATACCCCGCATATATCTCGGAACTTCGAGCTCTCTTCGAGGCAACTCGGGGGCTTGCGTTACCGAATATAACCCGACGACTTCGCAGCTACTATCGTACTTCGGCTGCCACAGCGTCGTTGTCGTCGTCTTCGTCGTCGTAGCTAGAGTAGCGCAGCGATAGATATTTGTTCAGACGCAGAGTGCCGCAAGCTCGCAAGCTCGTCGTCGTCTGCCGCCACCGCCCTGCCTCACTCTGCGCACAGCTATCGCGCGCGATATATATTATTATATGCCGGCGCGCGCGAAAAATACGACTACACGGCGCGCACGTCGACGAGAGAGAGAGAGAGAGAGAGAGAGAGAGAGAGGAAAGTGTCTCTCTCTCTCGACGACGAAAAAAAAAAGTAGCGTCAATGGAAAAAGCTTTCACTCTGCGCCGCTCGCTTGTGCTTTGCTGCTGTTGCTGCAGCATATATGTATGGACGCGTCGAGCTAGCTGGAGTACAGCTAGTCTGAGGATTTGCGAGTCGTTATTCTATTTTATTTTTTTCATTTTTTTTTCGCAGCATCTACTCGAAAAGCTTAGACCGTGTTTTTTTTTTTAGGTCAAATTATTCGCTGCACGCGTATATTGTTTAACCGTGAACTATAAAGATGAGAGTGCGTCGACAACGCCGGCTCCAAGTTCAGGAAAAGAAAAAAAAAGCGGCACGCATTTCGTACACACGTTGATTACAAATTGTTGAAAGTTATATCCGTGGCATATGGCTGTACGAAAATTCGCGCCGAGGACCATCGAATAACAAGAACGGCAAACAGGGCTTGAAAATACTCCAGAACAAATACGCCGTGTACGTAGTAGTAGTAGTAGTAGTAGAAGCACGAGCCAAAAAAGGAACGAAGGAACGCGCCCGGTAAATTTTCTCCGTGCGAGAGAGAGAGGGAGAGAGAGAGAGAATGCTATATGCATACAAAAATGCGCAAATAAAGTAACGTTTCTCTCTCTCTCTCTTTCTCTCTCTCGGCCAACAGGTAAAATAAACTAGTGAGCGAGGCACACGTACACACGTATGAACTGGACGTATGTATGTACCAAACACGTTGAAATCCAATCCTTCCGAGAGTTGTACACATACACACATATTGTGTGTGAGCTACTATCTCGCAGCGAGTCTAGTTTTTACCGAGGCGTTTGTGTGTAGAGTGAAAAAAATATATAGGGAGTGAGAGAGAGAGAGAAACGATAGATGTATGTGTGAGTGTGGGTGTTGTGCAGGTCTCTCTCTCCGTATACCGAAGCGAGAAAGTGAAAAAAAAACTTGCAGCCAGATGAGGCCAAATAGTCGGCAGCAGTACACTACAGAAAAAGCTATGCGAAATATGGATACTCTCTCTTCCTCTTACTTCTCTCTTTGGGTATTTCCTTGAAGGATGTGCTTTATCGCTTTTTGCAGAATTTTTTTTATATACATATAACAATAATGCACTCGACAAGAGAGAGAGGCATTTTTCGTCGGAAAATGTATACCCCGCTTTTTTTCGATTGTTAAAATAATTGTTCGGACAGTGGGTAGAATAGAACGTGCGCGAGTCGTACGTGTGTAGAAAATAACTCGAGCGTGCAGTGAGATCGTGATACATTATCTTCGCGCATTCTTGAAAAAAAATGATTTTTCTCTCTTTTTTTAATTTTTCAGAAACACGTACGTTTATATTTTCAAAAAAAAAATGGAATTATTTTTACTATAAAAAGAACGAAAGAAGAAATATCGTTGCGCGAGCTCGAGCCAACGAACGAGGTGAATAATTTCTTAAAACTCGACGCGGACAAGTAAAGTGCCAGTGACCAGGTATAGAGTACACACAGAGGCGGCGGCGGCGGCGTCGGTGCGAGAATATAAAATGAGCTTTCGATCTAATTCAGGTATATGTATACACAGGCGGTGCTCGCGCGGCCGGTGACAAAGTGCACTGTACTCTACATATATTTTTCTTACAAAGTAAAATATCGAATTTTGCCTCTCGGCGTAAATTTCGAACGTACATAATATAATAGCCTCGCGAGCTGCTGCGTAAATATTTTTAATTCATTGTAACCGCGCGTAGTGGCGATTATGTAAAGGGTGTACTACGCGTTGAAATTAATTCCCTCCCACGCGGCTCGCTCAATTTTTCAATTAAAAAGGTAGAGTACAAAATAAACGCAGTACCTTGCATTTGGGATACTCCTCCTCGGGCGGCGACCTCTTCCAGCCGAGCAGCGGCGGTATGCAGATCACCGCCGACAGCACCCAGACCATGGCGATCATGAGCGCGGCCCTCGTCGGGGTGCGCTTCTTCAGATAATCCACGGCTTTGGTGATGCTCCAGAACCGGTCCAAACTGATCAAGCACAGATTCATGATACTGGCGGTGCACAGCAGCACGTCCATCGCCGAGTGTATGTCGCACCACCAGTAACCGAAGATCCAGTAGCCCATTATCTCGTTGGCCAGCGAGAACGGCATTATGACGAGGCCGAGAAAGAAGTCGGCCACCGCCAGACTGGCGATGAACCAGTTCTGTATGTTCTTCAGCGCCTTCTCCGTGGCGATGGCGATGATCACGAGCATGTTGCCGATCACTATCACGATCATCAGCAGAGTGACGACGATCGAGGCGAAGATGATGTGCGGCAGCCCGTAGCCCGACGGATAGGTGCCCTCGAGGATGTAGCTGTCGTTGTACAGGCTCGAGTTCCAGTCGCTGAGATTCGAACCGCCGGCTAAGTCGACGATCGCGCTGTCCGAGAACGTGCCGTTGAACGCGGCGTCGAAGGCCGTCAGGGCGCCGTAACCGAAGAGCAGCTGGCTGCCCGCGCCGTCCACCTGCTGCTGCATCATCGCGTCGTCGTAATCCATGTTATTACCAGCGACGCTCATGTCTTCCTCGATCTCCTCCTGTTCCTCGACGCACGAGTCGATACTGTCTTGGTCGCGGCAATTATTATTATTATTATTATCACTATTACTATTAGCTTCCGAGGACGATGCCACTTGGGCGATATCACCTGTCTGCGCACTCGATAATATTATCGTAGTAGTGGTCGAGGTCGTCGTCGTCAGAGAGTCGTCGCGAGCAACGTCCCACGTGTTCATAATGTCGTAACTTACGTAGTCGCCCCCCGCCACGCCTGGACTACCTCGAGCTCTGTAGTCCGTGGACAATACGTTTGATCTCTTGTTGTTGTTGTTGTTGTCGTCGTTGACACTCGTGCTCATCGTCACGTCGCGTTGCTGATTCGACGACGACAACGACGATGACGACGTGCCATAATCGAGCGAGTCCTTTCTGTAATTGTTGCCATCGTCTCGGACGACGACACGATGCTCTTGCTGCTATCTCGTCGCGTCGCTGCTCTGCCGCGCTATCCTCTGTATTATTATCATAGGCAGCGTCGCGTTGTTGACGCTGCTGCAATTTGGACTGTCGTTGTTGCAAACGGTCTGCTGCTGCTGCTGTTGCGGCCACGACGACGACGAGCCGCTGTTTTTGGCTACGGCTGCTGCGGTCGACGCCGGCGACGACGACGAGGACGACGTCGTGAGCGACGAGCACATCAGCAACGCGATCGTCGTCGTTAATAAGACAGATCGAGATCTTGTTCTTCCTCTCGTCGATAGCTCCGAGCATCTCGTCGTCAGGGCTACTAGCTGAGCAGCCGTCGTCATTGCCCGCCTTCGCCACGTTTCACGACTCCGTCATCGCCTTCTTCCTCTTTACCACCGCCTCTCTTTCTTTCCTCTCTCTCGAGGATTCGGAGCACCGCACGCACGTACACACGCCTCTCGTTTATCGAATGACGCTGATTTTTCTTCTCTCTTCTTCGTTCTTCGAAGATTCACTCGCGCACACGTGATACAACTAGGAACAAACAACTGCACACTCACAAAAGCTTCTCACATCTCAATTATTTTTTTTTTCACTCGGCTTGATAAAGTAGTAGTAGTTGGCTTTTAAACCCACAGAGAGAAAAGTGGGAGAATTAGAACTCGCGACTACACTTATTGGATTAGATTGATAAAAGGAGCGTCGTCGTCGAGGAGGAGGAGGAGGATGAGGAGGTGACTCGATATATTTCTGCCGGCATGCCCCTGCTTTTTTTTATTCGGCAAGAAGACTCCACGGCAATGACGTCGTGGCTCTCGGCATTTTATTGAACGCTTTTCCTCTCTTCTTGCTCTTATGCAAAACGTTCTGTGGAGCAGGCTGGCTGCTGCTGCTGCTGAGGAGGAGGAGAGAGAGAAAATGAATTTTTCAACGCATCGCTCCAACTACCTACGCTAGAGCTCTACACTCGATCTACTAGAAGAGAGAGAGAGTAAAAATGACGACGACGGCGGCGGCAGCGGCGACGACGATCGAGTCATATCTTCTCCCAAGGAGAGAAGTGAAAGAGCTCCCCGAGTATTATATATATTCACCACTTTTCGGGTACGAGGGAAAAAAAGCAGGCAGCTATCTATCCTATACGTGCTCGGCAGAAGCCGAAGTCGTTCGCTCTCTCTCTCTCGAAGCTGGGGAAGGAAGATTATCCCCCGATAAGCCGCTGATCAATGGCAAATCGAGCTGTTTCCTCGTATTTTCCATACAGATGCATCATATTTTGCCTATCTGCCAACTACTAGTCGTATATGCGGCGTCGTTCGTTCGTTCGTTCGTTCTCTCCGCACGAAGTTCGAAGTCCCGTGTTGTGTCCTTGACTCGCGGCGGCGCGGCACAGCACAACATAACACACCAACACCACTACCACTACTGCACCACCGCTGCTCTTGTGAACTTTCAATTTCTCTTTTACGCCGCTTTGCCCGAGACTTTGTACATACGTACACGCGTACACAGGAGCTGCAGCAGCAGTAACGGCAAAAGCTCGCGCGCGCACGGCAGCACTGGCACACACACACACACAGAGCTGCGAGAACTAATTAATTATCCGTGACGTTTAAAAGGAGCTAGCGAGCGAGCGAGCTGCGTAAGAGCCCCGAGCTTTTGATACAAGAACAGGCAGGCAGGCAGACTTTTGCCGGCTTTAGCCCCTTTTCTGCAGTATATGTACTATTAGCGCAGTTTCTTCGGCTTTAATGGAACTAGCGGCACAAGCACACGCGCGCGATTGTCCGTTTTCAGCGGCGATTTTTTCCTAGGAATCCGTGGTGGAGCAGGTGGTGTATAGAGACACCTACCTACCGCGTAGCACAAACTAACTTATATTATACTATATTCAAAGTAGCACTCGTAGCACTCGAGAGTATAAGAAAAAGTTTTTTTCATTTATTTTATATATACCTCGACGAAACTCGAACCAACCAAAACAAAACAAAATCACAGAACAACTCGTTGGTCGTGTGTGTATTCGTTGGGGGATCGAGAGAAAGAGAGTGGCTTACACAGCGGGAGAGTAGGGTATATATAAACTTGGATGAGCCGTTAAATGCCGGTCAGTCGGCTACGTCGTTTTTATCATTCTACTCCTGCTGCAAGCTCGACTTTCCGCGCGCACTGGTTATCTCTTTCTCTCTCTCGGCTCGTTTTATTCCTCTCTCTTTACTACAGACGTAGAGAGAGACTCGGACACTGATACACACAGATTGCACACGTAGAGGCGGGTACAACAGTGCAGCCGATAGTAATGGTAGTAGTGGTATCCTCTCGTCTCGTCCGTCGAGAGCTTTTCTCTCTCTCTCTCGTCTCTAGTACAGAGGGTATGTCGGATGAAATAGCAGGAAATACCACGAGGATCTGCAACTTTGATCTGTCTTTTTTTTCTCTACTTCTTCTGCTCCTTATACTTCTTCCACTGCTCTACCACATCAGCCGTTATTATCGCTTATATGGCGCGCGAAAACGATATCTCTGCTCTCGCAGGAGAGCGGATAAAGTCACACACCTTTTTTCAACGCGTACACACATGTACGACGACGACGACGTTCGATTAGATTCCGTTCGTGCGTCGTATCGTTCTGATTTTTTTTTGCCTTTCTTTCTTTCTTAGAGAGCTTTTTGTAATTCGCCGCCTCGGTTTATAATGCACGCGACTACAGTGAGAGAGAGAAAGCGGGTAGCGGAGTGCTGCACTTTTGGCCTCGTTTCGCACTCGCTCTCTCTTTAGCGGTGCACGGACTACTACACCGACTACGCGATACGATGCGATGGGTGCGTGCGGCAGCGGTACAACAGTGGGGCTCGTGTATATGTACGTAGATATATATCGGTGATGGGTTTAACACACATGTACAAACAGAGACGGACGAAGACGCGCGCGAGGCGTCCGTCTCGCGAGGAGCCTTACGAGCGACTACTGCCGCTCTCGCTCTATATACCGACTGCTCTACGCGCGAATATTCGCCTGCTGCTGCTGCTGCTTTAACGCACACTCGCGGCGGCACAGGCGCTGGTGGTGGTGGCAGCGGCACACAAGACTCGTATGTGTGTTAGTGTGCAATGTAGCCCAGTAGCGAACGCGAGAGCGAGATAGATATATGTATATAGAGCGAAAAAGGCGCGCAAGCTCTGCTGCGCCGACGTTGGCTACTGCTGCTGCTGCTGCTGCTTCTACTGCTGCTACTACTACTACTGCCTCTGTCCTGCTGCTGCCACAGTGGCAGCTTGTGCGCGTATGTATATATAGGTACCTACTACTGCGCTGCTGCACACTGCGCGATGGGGTTCGTGCGCGCACGCGTGCGTACATACATAGCATGCGTGTGCGTGTGCGTACATGTGCGTTACAACATAATAAATATAGACCCCCCACCGACCGACCGACGGAAGAGGAGGAGGAGGAGGTGGAGGAGGAGGAACGAGGCTATCAGTTCATTGCGAAACGTCGAACCTGCACCAACGACGACGTCGACGCGCACTGACCCCTATATTATACACGCGCTGCTCTATTCGAGCGGGCGGGTGCGAGCGAGCAACTACTTTATTTACCACGTAATCTGCATTGGTAAATAAACTTGCGACGCGTGTGCTTGCGAGAGCTTGCGAGTTGGAAACAGAGAGAGAGAGATGCGACGTTTTTGAAGCACCTTTGGCAGAGCTTCAAAAACGCTTTCTTGAAACCCTTTTCTATCTCTCTCGACTCGCGTGCGATAGATATATGTGTAGAGCTTGCGCGCAGGGTGTGGGACATACGGCGAAGGAGTATAAGGACAGAAAAGAGCACAGAGGGAAGCAAGCCAAAATGTTGACCGAAAGATTGCCCGATGTTTTGAAAAGCTCTATCTATCTATCTCTCTCTCTGACGTCAAATTAGTCATGAGAACTTTTTACGCCTGGGTGCGCCCCCACCCTCGCGCCAAAGTACACTCGGAGATCGTCATGAAAACTTTATTAATCTGTCCATTAAGGTCCGAGGGCGGGCGTGGCTGCCGTTGCAAGCTCGCGCTTATAAGGACGCACAAGAGAGAGCTTGCGAATCGAAAATTTAGCAGTTTAAGTAACTCGTGCACCTGATTTTTTTTTCCTGTAGCGCTCCGTAAAATCGAGAGCTTTCGCAAGCGCGAAAAATGAAAATCATTCGGAAACTTTTCATTGCGTTCTGGGAGAGAGAGAGAGAGAGTATAAATAAAATCTCTCAGCACGGAATCTCTCGGGTAAAATACTCCTCTCTCTGCAAAGTGCGTGGAGTAAAATTTCTAAGATTCGCAGAAAACTTTCGGAAAACATTTCATCAATTTCATCAAATAGAGAGAGAGTTTCTTATTTGTTTCGCGAGCACCCAAGGTAAACAATCGGTATGGAGGAAAACTATTCGCCCGAAACGGTATGTGCACGTTTTTAAAAGGATTTTTTCTTCTTTTATTTTATTATTTTTCTTTTTTTCTCCATTTTTTTTTCGTTGTAAAAATGCAAAAGTACAAGAACAAAAGAGTCCGTATTTGCAAGGGATTGATTGTTTCGGAGAATTCGGTCTTACCCATTTTTCATTTTTATCGTATACATACTCTCAAACTGCATTAATGCCGCTGCTGCTTTGTGTGTACGTACACGAGAGGGGGGGCATGCACGATCTATTGAACCTTTTTCCGTAAGCACTACTACTTTACTGCTACTCTTCATCGATATTCGAACTTTTGTATATTATTCCCTTTCTATTTGCATTTCAAACGAATGCACTCTCTGCTATTAAATCATAAAATTATTACGTAAGCAGGTATACATTCAACGGCTTTCGTAAAAGGATATTATCATTGAAGTCAGTAAGTAACTATTTAAATATTCAGCGAACAAATTGTAACTCCTCATATGAATGTTTATAGGCGAGGTTCAAAAAAAAAATACATCCGTTGAACTATCGTATCTTTAATATTGTTTGAAACAATTATGGTATTTATAATTATACAGTGCATATAATACACATATTATTATTATACACATATTTCGACTTTGCCACTTGCAGATTTATACTTGAAGGTATTCGCCATCTAGCGGTGGAGACTCAAAGAGGTGTCACCGTACAAAAAGTAGTTGAAAACTGATCTAAATTTTTTGAAGCAGTTACATTTCCATTCATAGATCATTTGAAACGCGCTCAAAATTTTTAAAATAATTGTAACAGAAAAATTGCAAAAGAACAGACCAATTGATGTTAACCTAATTTAAATGGTCATTTTTTAGTTATCAAGCCAACATTATTATGCTAAGCATTCCTATCAGTGACGGCCTCGATAAATTCAGAACGAATCGAAAATGATGAATTTAGAAATTCGTACGAACGATCGTACGTCTCCTCCACCCGCACCGAGCGAGCACACATCGCATAGTTTATATAAATTTTCACTAGTGCTATTATGCCGAGCAGCAGCTCCAGTCAAATTGCGCGCGCGCGCAGTAAATTGTCATGAAATATAAAGTTTGACCGATGCATCGCACACGATGAACAGGTTGAACAAGCTCTCGCACACACACGTACACATAGCTCCTTTCAAGTATATAGAGAAGAAGCAATCGAATCAATTAAGCTTATATCAATCACTGACACTTCCTCGAAGTTTCTCCCAGCCGGGGGGAAACTTGCACTATAGTGGTAGTGATGGGTGGTGGTAGTAGTAGTAGTAGTGGTACTATAGTATAGTTTTGCTTCTTCGTCCTTGAGTGGCAAGTAATACACTCCAGTATTCAATGCGCGCCTCCTCGCGTCGATACAACGTGTTATATATATAACGTTATACACTCATCCCGTCGAATGGCCCTCTGAAACGTATCACATCTTGGCAAATATCCTCCCCGCCACCCTCCACTGCTGCTGCTGCTGCTGCTGCTGCTGCTGCTCTGGGTTAGATATATTATACTATTAAGCGCCGAAGAAGCCTATTTGTCCCGTGCTGCGACGACGTTCTTATTATTATATATGCCGAGGAGACAAGGTGTCCTCGCGATAACCCCTTGCGAACTGCGTACGTTTCATTTTTATTTGTTAACCTTTTTTTTTTTAATGTTAAACTTCTCTCTTTTCTTGTCGCCGTTGCGCGTGACCTTCCATTAAGACGTTATGTGATGTGATCGATGGTGTGCTCGATAGACGATGATAAAAGTGTGTATAGCGAAAAACGCCGACGCCGCCGACGCGTTGCCACTGACCGTGATTAATCTGCTCAAGGTTTCTTCGGCGCGTATATAAAGGCGTGAATAATGTCTCGCGAGACGTGTTGGCTTATGTGCCGCGCAATATTATATATTATTTGCAAGTGGTCTCGAATTGAAAATCTATATCGGCGGTTCGATTTTTTTATTATTTTACCTGTGAGTATGCGGCTATGCTTCTGCTCAAACATTTATTTTTTTTTTCATGTAAAAATATAGTTTCGTATCAGTTAAAAATGACTTACTCGTTGGTAGAAACGCTCATCATCAATAATGAAATAACGATTAAAAAATAATCTCTTAAAGTGTTCTAAAATACAAAAAAATATTAATTGTCTTGATTTTGAACTTTTTGTATAGCAATTATGTTATAGTATATTTTGTAAAAAGTGTGCGAAGAAGTTGACTCATCCAGGAGTTATTTTCCGAGCATAGCGAGGGTGAAAAATAACTCCTGGATGAGTCAACTTCCTCGCGGATTAGTTGCAAACGATATTTTTCAACTTTGTTTGCTAGAAACTAGGGTTTTCTGACGATTTAAGGTTAGAAAATCCGTGTTTCGTGCACGCAGTGTTAAGGAATAGTATATTTTGTAACAAGTGCGCGAAGCAGTTGACTCATCCAGGAGTTGTTTTCACCCGAACGTAGCAAGGGTGCAAAGACTTTTTCTTTCGGTTTAGTGTTTTTTTATCGTTTTTTGAGTCAACGGTTTCGGAAAAACGGGCTGACCAATTCTTATGAAAATCTTGGGTATAGTCGTTGAGACTGTGCGGATGAAGGTCTGATTGTATAAATGGTATCTATTTTTCTTTTTTTTTTCTTCTTTTTTAACCCACCGAATAATAATTTTCATCAATTTTTTTAAACTTTTCAATTCTGCATTTCAGGTGACTAAGTGGAGAAATTACAAATTGACTCCATCAACGATCTTGAAATATTTTTGTTAGCGTACAAAATTTATTTTGTGAAACAAATTAAAATTTGAGTATACATTTAATAAAACTTATTGTATACTTGAGTATACAGCAACGAAGCAATATCAAATGGAATTTAATTTATTAACACAAAGTCGCTGTCAATTTATTGGCATAGAGTTTCCTCATAAAAAATGCTATTATTATATACATGACCACTAATATAAACCGAGCAAACCTTTATCATTGACAAATTAATAATAAATCTTCAATTGAAGCTATTGACCGATTGTGCTGAGAGTATACGTTGCACGTTACTCGCTGGGTATCGTGAAGTACTATTAAAAATTGCTCGAGCTGAAAATTCGCCCTCGGGTCGTGCCGTGATCCCTCGTTTTGCCCAAAAATCATAACTGCACCGATTGAAAAATATACTATTTTTTTTATGCGTATTCTAGAATTGTGAACTTTCGTTCAAGCGCTGGAAAATGATAAGATTAGGATTTTTGCAAAGGTATTATAAAAATTTAATGATTTAGTATAATCGCGAATGTTTTCTGTTTATTGAAATCGTTCAACATTCTGCATGTATAGATGCGACTAGTAAATAAAAATTATTCGCATGATTTAGCGATCAGGTCGCTAGCGAAAACAGATGCAATTTGAATTTTTTCTGGAATAGATCGATGAATCATAGTATAAATATTTCAATTTTTGAGTCGATAAAAGAAAACAAATCGAGTGCCCAAAGGTTCTCTAGATGTGTTTATCGATAGAAAAGTCATTGTCAATCG